CATACTTAGTTACCTACCAGCGTAGAATTAGGACCGAAAAACAAAGAAACTTAAGAAAATCGTGTTTGATTTATGGAGAAGCTGGTTTTATAATTCGTAGTCTATAACAGGTATTCTCTGTTCTCTATTGTACTGTATACACTAATAGATCAGACGTGTGTCCATGGATATTCTAGATCGGTATCAGTAGTATTTAATATACTTTAAAACAAGTAATTATTCAAGAACCATATTGAACTGTAGCTCTATAGCATTTGTATTATTATTTGATAAAATATTCAATATTGCATTTTACTTCGCCTTGTTGAAACATGTGTGGACAGTTCGCCAACGTGTTATCTTGTTTCTGTATGCATCACAGTTCACAGATGCGTTTAATCAGTAAATTCCCACGTTTATACGAGTAAATTGAGTAAGTGGAAGGACTTGTTTTACTTACACGTGTTTGATTCAAATTAGACCGTAATTTTGACTGTGCAATATACTCTAGAAGAGCGTTATCGATTGTCGCTTTGGCGGTGTTCATCGAATGCATTGATACCAATTAACAACGAATTGAAAATGAAAACGACACCCCAACTAATAAATCAACAACTATGTTAGCGCGTATGTTTCTAGTACGTGTTTTTTGCTTGTTTTTTTTGTCAAAAACGAACTGGCATAGTTTTGTACACCAACTTTCGTTGCATGTAGCTATAGTTCAAAGCACCCCTTACCCATCACGAGTGTTAATGGATCTCAGTACTGTCGCGTTGGCTATACGTTTTATGTGAAAACCAAAATGCGGAACATCAGAGTAATTTAGTCACATTTCACATGGAATTTAATTTTTGAAATCCGTAATAAAAAAATAAGAAGATAACAACAAATAATGTATCGAATACATACTCACCGAAGATCAGTAAAACACGACAGTGACACACGAGTACGGCCTTAGAGAATGAATGAATGATTGTAGGGGATTATAAAATGCCTATGTCCATGTGTACTCTTATAACTGGTAA